GGGATCCTGGCTGTTCCTTTGTCTGCGGGAAAGGAGCCATGTAAGTGACAGAGTTTCTGTCCCTGGTGTGGTTTGGTCACATGTGGTCACTGGCGTTGCTCCGTGCAGGGGAGGCAATTGAAACAAGAGCAGCAAGTATGGACCAAAAATGGCAACGCGGGTTATGGGCCTAATGAACCCATTTCAGCACAACTGAGAGTCGTTCTCTTGAAACAATGGAGGCATTTGGTTCATTTCCACAACTGTGTGCTGTTCCATGTTACTTCTGCTCCTCACGTGATCGAAGCGTTTCCACGTTGGTACAAATCCAGGCTCTTAGTTCTTCAGGGAAGCTCCTAGAATGGGATACGTGCCGTCCGTGTCCTCCACGTGGGGCACCGTTGGGGCTCTAGGTGGCCTGTGACACCCTGTTGTAAATGGGCCAGATTCCATGAACACGGCCCGCATCGTGCGCCGCTTTTAGCAGCGCTGGCGTGCAAAGCACCGTTCCCACTGGGACCTGGTCTCACCGCTTTGCGGGGAGTTCGTCCGGAGGCAGCTCGTCGCCACAGCGAGGATCTTGTTCGTGGGAGTTTGTGAGCCGTCGGGGAGTGAAGGTGTGAACGGGCAGGGATAAGAGCCCTGCCCGGCCCGTGGTGCCGTGGGAGGGTGTCTGATGGGAGGGGCTGGTGACAGCCGAGGGGAAGCCTGAGGCCCGGCCGCTGCCAGGGGGCCTCCCTCCTTCATTTGCGGAAATGAGCCCATAGCAGAAGTCGAGAGTGCCCAGGTGTATTGCTCATGGGCACCCACACTTTGTGGATATAGGTTGAATTTTTCCATGATAAAGTGAGACTTGAATCAGCTGCATGACTAGCTTAGTACCACACAACTAATGTCGTTTACATCGGTATAAACTTGGGTCATTCATACTTTGAACAGCGGCATTTATTTGACTCCACAGACTGAAGGCCATGGTCGATGTGGCCAGCCTCTGCTGACGAAGATCTTGGCTGTAGGGTAAGGAACCTGAAGGCTAAAGTAAATAATCGTCAAATGATCTTGTCAGTTGGGGGGTATTTTTTGTTAGTGTTCATTGAACTATTCGAATTAATCCATATGTAGGCCAATAATATGAATGTGTTATGAAACAAATATTGTGGTTTATCCAATCCAATACAATTGGGGTTAAAAATAAGGGGGAAGACCTTTTGTTTATTTTCAAAGCTCATGAGTAATTCTCGTTATTTTTGCACTGCATTTGACTTAAACAGTTTATCCAGCAGCATAGTCTAGGGCTGCCCTGCCCAATGAAGTTGCGCCTAGCCGCGTGGGGCATTTGAATTTAAAAGAAATAAAATGACATGAGTGTTAAATTTAGTTCCTCAGTTGCACTAGGCACATTTTGGACTCCTTAGCTATAGGATGTGTGGCGATCGGTGGCCATATTGGGGAGCCCAGTTACAGCACATTCATATTACCACACTGAGTCCTGCTGGCCTGCTCCTCGCTGAGGGAGGGGTCCAGCGGAGATGCAGGGCAGCGGGGACTGGTTGCGTGTGAAGTAAGGGTGGCGAGTGGCCCGTCCCTGGCCTCGCTGATGGTCGCTGTAGACAGAGCCTGGTCTATTGCGAAAAGACCGAGTTGATGGGGAAAGAGCCTATAAATGGGTCTTGGTCATATTCGAGGATCTTGTTCTTGGCTTTCATCAACAAATTATGAATATTGATTTTATTACTGTTAGTGGATCTTTGAATAGATCGATAAACAAAGGTATTAATGAAGAAAAAGATTGCTGAGTCTGGATCAATGATGAGTACCCTGGGGTGTCTGAAATCGAGGATTTTGATTAAACCCTTAACTCTGAGGTCCATTGCCAAAGAAATCCCTCTTTACGTGCAGCTTCAGCGGAGAGTTACGAATGTGCAGGAGTTTGTTCTTGGGTTTCTGAGTATTGCGTTTTCGCTAAATCAGTGAGTGAGCAAATGAAGAAACATATAAATGAATAAGGATAAAATGGGTTAATCCTGGTTCAAATATGAGAGTATGTGATATGATAGATGTAATATAAAAATCACTGTTTGTACATTTCTGAAGCACTGGGTTCCAATAAAAGAAATAAGTTGATTAAAGCGGATCCTGGTGTGGGTAAAGAGCATTTAGATAAATGGAGGTAAGGGCCATGTGGTTTTTCTGGGTTGGGTTGTTGGTTTTTTGTTTTATTAAGAGAAGAGCATCAACCTAAATTAATTATTGATTAAATAAATGCATGATTGAGACAGGACTTACACATGGAGCTATGCCGAAGGTGTCACATGACCAGGTGTGATTTATTGAATGATCTTCACTATTTTTTAATTTAAAAAGAATAAGAAAAGATTCTCTAATCTTTTTTTTCTGTGCCTCATGGACATAGGAACAGGCATTAATATTGTCCTGTTTCTGTGGAGTCATAAATATTAATATTATTGTTAATGTATAAAAGAATAAGTTAATGTTTTAATTAGTTATTTGAAAGAAGGCAAAGTGTGAACCACTGAGGGGCATCTGTTAGGGAACAAGGAGAGTGAGTGATACAGTTGTACACAATTGCTCTCCAGACAGACACCGCAGACCCAGGGTCTTACATTTTTGTGATGGTGAATATAGAACCTCTCTTTTTGACTTGCTGGAATGAGTTCTTTAAAAGATGGAAGAGAAATAACTCCATGTGTGACTGTATACGTACATGCACATGCATACATACACACATAAATTCATCTACATACACACACATACATACATACATACACAAAGGTTGGACAGGAATAGTCAATGCAGAGAATGTGCTCAATCTAGAATTCATATTAACCCAATTCTTCCCAAGCAAGATTCATTTAGAAAGAAAATAATAGTGCCTACCTGGCTGGGGAGAGGGTATAGAAATAGAGAAGTATAATAGTTCTAGCTCTTATGTTTTCTGTTGTTGGTTTCAAAGGTGTTCATTGTATCAGCTAAATTTAATACTTGAGTCAATCAAAAAGTCACTCAGAGTTTTAATATATAACAAGCACTAAGGTTTATTCCTAATCAATTGTTGTTGACTTGGATCAATTTTAAAAATCTGAATCTAGGCTGATTTGTCAAATTTATTTTATATTTGCTTTGTACTTTACAGAATGCACAGAATGAATCAGTTAAAGGACTGTAGAAACTTAAGTAACATCAAAGGAGTTGCTCTTCACAGGTGCTAACACTTATTGAAAGGCCATAAATAGGTACATATACAAATAACATGAATAAAGGTCATGTGTGGGTCCATTCAGCACATCTGTGGTCAATTAAGAAAAAAGAAGACCATGCATTCATTTAAACAGTTAATTATTCAATTAATTAATGTAAAATATATTACTTAATTTTAATTGAGTCCCAGTTCATTTAAACCTCCCTTTACAATGACACAGTTTAGTCACATTCAAATAGCAAAATGGGGTTAATGTAAAGTACTGCATTAATTTATATAGCAAGCATGGGGTCAATTAATGACATATATATATGTATATATGTATGTATGTATGTGTATATAAAATATATATCTCCTCTACAGAATTACTTCCCACTGACAATATAGATTCATAAAAATATATCTGTATTGTCAGCGGAAAGCAATTCTATAGAGAAATATTAGGGATATTCAAGGATTTTGTTCAAAGTTTTTAGGACCTCTAGGCATCTATTAGTGAGCAGATGAGTTAATGAAAATATGTAGACACGACAGAAGAGAATGAGGGCCAACCAGGACCAGTGTTGACTGGTGGAGTTTGAGTCGGTTTGTCAGAGGTCCAGCGCAGTAAGAAATCTAGTCTCTCTACCTTCTGTTGGAAGTAATCCTAGGGATAGATGTTAGGAGTATTTAAGGGTTTTGTGTTCTTAGTTTTTGTGTTCTTGGAATTTGATTCTACTATTATAAATGGAAAGAATTAGTACAAATACATGAATAAAGAGGGTGAAGCATTGCCCAATTATGAAAATATATGATGAGGCCTGAAATGCTATTAATATATATTAAAAACACTGAAGTCCATTAAGAAATAAAATATCTTAAAGATATTACCTCTTTAACTATGGAATGGATACATACACTACCAATAATAGTCCTGTACGTGTTTGGACGGTGCCTTCTTCAACATTGTTTTCTCAAGAAAAAAAATCACAATTTAATACAGACTTAAATGGCTAATAAAATGATAGAAGGAGTTCAGGCTAAATGGAAAGAATATGCCAGTCTTTCTAACTTATCATGTGTCCTGTTTTGCATTCTCAGAAAAAGCACTCCCGGCTGTAAGCGTCGGGAACTCTGAGGTCCAAAACAATAGAACTCGCGTCTATACCTCCTGTTGGAAACGACCATAGTGACTGATGTTAGTAACAGGCAAAGATAATGTTCTCGGTTTAGGTGGTCATGGGTGATGATTCTGTTAGCATAGATACATTAGTGACAGAATTATAAACACATATAAGTAAATAAGTATGAATAAGTGTGAATCACGGTGAATTACAAAAATGAATAAATATTGAAGTGACTGAGGAAATTGCATAAAGCAAAGAGGGTTGGAGAAAGTCTCAATTTTTTTCTCCTTCTGTGTTTTGAACTTCTCAGGAAGGATGCGCTGGTGCGGAGAAAGGGATTCCCCCATGTTCACAAGCGGTCTGGTTTTCCATGTGTGTGCTGCATAGAAATGAATGTGAGTTTTTTGGGGTGTATGCTCTGTATTTGCAGAGTGTGACCAAAGAAAGCCAAACGATGTCCACTGAGAAATATGGAATTGATGTGTAATATTATATTTATTAATCCCTATGTGAAGCTTCGAGAGTGATTAGTGAGATATTTTAATGAAATAAATGACCCTATAGACAGATGTAGGACTATTCGAGGCTCATATACTAGGTGTTGTTGAGCTTCATAGTTAATTTTATTACTATCAGAAAAATTGATGAATTAATGAACAAACATAAATGGGAATGGATAGAAAAAGTGCCAAGCTGGGACCCATGATGACCACTGGTGGCATTATGAGTAGTGGATGGAGACTGCCCTGGAACTCTGAGGTCCATCGTAAAAAGAATTCTAATTTATTACCCAAGGTAGCAATGATTTTATAGACAGAGTTGGAACTCTATAAGGATCTAGTTTATGGATTTTGATTCTATCATAATAAATGAATAAAAGAATCAACTTATAAATATAAATAAATAAAGATGAAGAAGGTGAAGCATCATACAATTATGAAAAAATATAATAATGCAAGAGATAATATTAATAAATATTGATAGACTAAGTTAAGAAATAAATGGTTCAAAGGCATTGCCTTTATCTAAGGATATTATTGATAATATAAATAATGACCAATATTCTTGTTTGGTATTAGTGGAAAGTTTAATGTTGTTTGTTTTTAAGAATAAATCAAATCTATATTACCCCAAATTAATATATCACTTACTCAGAAATAATGAAATGTAGATGTAAGGACCAATAAAGAAAATATCTCAATCATGTTATCATCTACCCTGCTTTTCCCTTTTTAGAATGGATACACCCAAGCCGAGTTCGGCGTTGTGCCTTGGTCCCCAGTCTCTCCGTTTACCTGTAGGAGTCAGAAACCAACGTGAGTCATCGTCCAAGTTCTTATCTTACTTTTCATGGTTTGTGTAGGGGATTCTCTGAATGTTTTGTAAAAAGTACTCAGTTGAAGAAAAAATACCAACCATGTCCCAATGATTGAGTTGGAAATACGTGAAATATTATGTTGACTAATCTATATATCTTTGGAATAAAGAGAATGATTAATAAAATTCAGTGATTCTAAAGAGAGATGATAAGGGTCCTAAGGCTCTTGTTCCGGAGCTTTTGTGATTCCCATCTATGTGTTTAATTATCAGCAACAGACTGATAGATTCGCATATTCGCTCCGTAGCTGAGGAGGCACTGAAGGAGGCTCGCCCCTGGACCAGTGATGACGACTGGTGGCGTATGAGTCGCAGACGGTGACTGCTCTGTGTCTGGAAGTCTGAGGTCCAAACCAAAACGAGTCTCGTCTGTCTTCTATCTTGCAAGGGATCCTATTGTGCTTGTAATTTTGGATTTATGGACTTTTATATTATTAATATAAATGAATCAGTGGCAGAACCATAAACAAAGATATAACTAAATAAAGATGAAGCCATGTCAACTATGAATATATGTAGTGAGGCATGAAATACTATTAGTATGAACCGGAGACACTGATGTTAAGAGATAAATGGAACAAGATCATTATGTTTTATTCTAAGGAATCATAGCATTATATTTATGTTTTTACTTATGCGTGAGTATGTTATGAAATACAATAAATGCCTTTATTACTTAGTAAATGGACAGAGGAGGGAAAAGGACCAGTGTAGAGAAGGTCTCAATTTTGTCACCGCCTGCTCTGTTCTGCCTCCTCAGAGTGGCCGCACCGGAGCGGACTGGCGCGTCACCCGTGGTCACGTGCTCTGAGGTTGCCTCTTTGGGTAGTGAGCACAGAGTCCGATGTGAGTAATACATTGAAAAAAGTTCATGTCTTTGAGAGTTTTTTCCTTAAATAGTCACTATATCATTAAGGGTGTGAAATAAGGTATAATCCAAGACACCAACCATCATGAATGATAAGCATGGGGTTGGTCTAAACCATTATCTTTATTAATTCATATATGAAACATTGATGTTTAATTAGTAAAACACATATATGAAGGTGGCAAATGATTTTATATGCATATGTAGAATATTTATTGCTCTTACTGTTTTTTATGAATCATACAGTTTTAAAAATTAATACTGGTGAGTCAATGAAACAATGAACTTAAGGAGATGAGAATGATGGAAAAGATGAACATTTATTGAATATACTGAAGTTTACTAAGTAGTTGTCATAGATTGGGTTATTTGTTTAAAGGTGTTCATTGAATTATTAGAAGTATTAAACATAAAAAAGTTAACTATGACCCAATGATAAACGTATGAAACATTATGTTAATTAGTTAATAATATGCAACATTGAAGTTAATTAATGAAAGAGAATCATTGTGTATGGGAAATGATTCTACAGACCAATGTGAGAGGTAGTCAAAATCTTGTCCTTGGATTTTTTGAATCTTGTGTTCATGTAATTATTATTCATGAATTAATGATTTATTTGACAGAAATGTAGAAACGAATGACAAAAGAGACCCAAACCTGAACCAGTGGGAACAGCTGATGGCGTAATAGCTATGGATGGTGAATAGTTTGTGTCTGGAATTCTAACATCCACCATAAAGCATAATTAGATCCCTTTTTTGGAAATGGTCCTATGGACTGATATTAGAAGTATACAAAAATTGCTCTTATCCTGGATTTACCAATTTATCATTGTAATTAACGGATCAATGATAGAACTTTTAAAGAAATACAGCTCCCCCCTTATCCACGGTCTCTCCCCCCCTTATCCACTGTTTTTCTTTTTGTGGTCTGGGTACCCACAATAACCGCGGTCTCCAAGCATTACATTTTCCCAGTCATCAACACCGTCTGCTCCTGACACCCAGCCACTGACACCATCATGGTGTGATGGCCCAGAATCCCTGAGGCAGACGGTTCTCCTCCTGACTTCCTGTCGGCAGGTCAGCAGTGGCCCAACGCCCTGTTTCGGTGCCTGCGCCCTACCCCTCCCTGCCTCTCATCTTGCAGGCACGTGTCCCCGCACCACATCACAGGAAAGGTGCGGACAGCACCGAATGATACTTAAAGAGGGAGAGAGGCCACATTCACACAACTCTCAGGCCCAACACAAAAAGAAACGGTCCCTTGCCTCTGCCTGCAATGACCCTATAGACTGATTTTTAGGACTATAAAGGGACCGTCGCCTCTATTTGCATGGGTTTTGGTTGTTTGATTTTAAATGGGTCGATTTCAGACTCAGTGTACAATCATGGACACAGAGAGGAGGAGCATACACTGCTGATGTGGGGAGACAGAGAGCGTGCTCAGCTGTCCCAACAGCACTGAGTTCCGTGACAGGAAACCCACGGCCTTGCCTCGGGAGAGGCTCCCTCTGGGTCGCAGGCACACAGGACAGGAGGTGTTACCCCATGTCACTGCTGCTAGGCGCTCGACTACGTGCAAGGCGGAGGCAGCGCCTCAGTGTCGTCACCTCCTCTTCCGCTTTGTACTTTGCAGACCGAGGCGCCTGGAGAACGGAAGCGCCTGCCGGGCTCAGGAGCTCCACGCAGGAGCCCGTCGGGCCAGTGTGAGTCGTCACCCCAGTCCTCGTTTTGGGAGGGCGGTCTGTGTAGGGGTCACTAGTAATTTACCAAGCATTCAGCAGAAGAGAAAAGGCCAGCTGTGGTCCAGCGATGAAGCTGGAAATGCCTGAAACGGTATGTTGACTGGCCCATCTTTGGAACACTGAGGGTGACTGAGGGAAGAGGTATAATCCCGGAGGCATTGGTCCTAAAGAGGTGTGGCAGCGATCCTGAAGGCTTGATCCTTCCACAGATAACATGTTTGATTCTTAGTAGTGGATCGATGAGCCAGTGTGTAAGCAAATGCAGGTGAGAACGAGGGGAGAGAGGCCTGCCCTTGGACCAGTGATGACGACTGGTGGCGTATGAGTCGCAGACGGTGACTGCTCTGTGTCTGGAAGTCTGAGGTCCAAACCGGAAATTTGGTCTGTTTCCTCTTGCAAATGATCCTGTGGCTCGGTGACTATGCAAGGAGATTGTCCTTGTAATGCTGGAGTCGTGGATTTAATGTAAATGAATCAATGACAGAACCGATAAAGGGATGTATAACTAAATAAGAAAAGGATAAAGCCTTATAAACTATGCATATATGTCGTGAGGCAAGACATGCTATTAACGTAACCTGAAGAAACTGATGTTAAGAGATAAATGGACCAAGGGCTTTACCTCTTTTTCTAATAAGTAACATTTAGTTTTATAAACTTATGTCAGTATTGAGCTGAGGATGTTTATATCTATACATATATATAAATATATATTTTATATATTCTGAAAAGGAAATATGGAAATAACTGAAAAAATAAAATGAGAAAGAAAATGACTAATGGAGAAAAGGTTTCCATTCTTAATGACCTGTTGTCTTGTACTCCTCAGGATCAACGTACTCGAGCTGATTTAAGTGTTTTCCATGGTAACAAGATTTGTGCTTTGCTCTGTGCAAAAGCAGGAATGCATGTGAGTAAAGGTTAAGTTCTTGCATTTGTTTGAGAAATTTTCTAAAAGGGTATTCACTCTATTCCTAAAAGTATAAAATACAGTCCAAAACACCAGCCATGGAAAATGATAAATACAGGCTATTATGAAGCATTATATTTACTAATGCATATATGAAATATGGATGATAATTAATGAGAGAGATACAACAATGTAGCAAAATCATCCTATAGCAGATGTGGAATATTCATTGCTCTTACTCTTTAGTTTTTGTGAATTATAGGGTTTTAAAATTAAATAAATTAAGGAATTAATGAATGAATTCATGTATGTGACAGGGAAGGGAAAGAGGCACAACATGGACCAATGATGACAGTTGGTGGAGTATGAGTCGCAACCAGACGGTGAATACGATGTGTCTGAAACTGAGGTCCAATAAAGACAGAAGTGTAGTCTGTTGCCTCTGTTTGAAGTGACCCCATGGACAGATGTCAGGGAAAGGAAAGAGGACCATTTTCCTGGTTCGTTTTCCGGAATTTTGATTCTACTGTAATAAGTGGCTCAAAAAGGAATCCATGTACAAGTATAAATTAGTTAAGATGAAGAGGATGAGACAATAAAAATTATTAACATTTATTGACAATAACTGCAGTTCATTAAGAAACATAAACGGTCCCCGCACCCCCGCCTCTTGGGCTAGGAAGGATGCGGGCAGTCAGTAACCACCCGAGTTCTCATTCTTGGTCTGGGTCAAGTTTGCGATCGTTTGGTTTGTTAGGAGAAAATTAATAAATGAGTACTCTATCCCCAAGGGACTGACTAAATGAAAGGTGAACGTGTGTGTGTCAATAGATCGTCTCTCAGCCTCACTACCGTCTGTTCTGCTTTACACTCCTCAGGGCGGGCCCGCGGGAGCTGCCTCAGCCTCCGGCCACCTTCAGGGGCTCCGCCGGCTGTCCCCGTGCACAGGGGCATGTGAGTAATGGTCAAGCTCTTCTCTCAGTTTGGGCGGTTGGTTTAGAGTCTTTGCTATAATATTAAAAATAGTATTAAATACGTTCAAGAAAAACTAGCCATACCCCCCAGCATAAATATGGAATCGACATGAAACTTGTATGTCAACGGACAGGTATTTGCATTAATGAAGCTGCTCAAGAGAAGAGGCATATTCACTGAGGCAAATGTTTCTGTAGATAGACATTAGAGATACTAAGGATCTTTTCCCTGAATGTTTGTGATTCACGAATTTTATTTTATTTTATTTTATTATTATTACTGAATTGATGAATTGATCAGTAAACAGATACAGATGAGGAGGAAGAACCCGAGGCCTGTCCTGCGCTGGTGACGACGACTGGCGGCCTATGAGCCTCGTGGGAGGAAGGCCGGTGTGTGCGGAGCTCCGAGCACCAACACGAGAGTCTCAGCCCTCCTCTCAGCCGGAAGTGGTTGTATGGGCATGCCAGGGCCATTCAGGGACATATAGCGCTCTTGTTCTGGGTTTTGTGTTCATAAATTACACAAAATATTATTATAACGGAATAAATGACAAAATAAATACAGACAAAAAGGGTGAAGTATTGTTTATTGTTAAAATGTAAAGGAAAATGATACTACTGTATATTGAAATCGATATTAAATGGATCAAGTGTATTACATCTTTGACTAAGATTGGTATTTAAAATGATAAGTCATAGTTACTGCTCTGAGGAATTGCAACTCTGATGTGTAATTTAGTAAGAGAAAAACAAATTTTACCATTACTCAACAAATACCTAAATGATAAGTAAATGAAATCTGGGGGTCAAAGATCAGTGGGCCTCAGGCTTTTATTATCATCCACTGTCCTCTGTGCCTGCAGAACGGACGTGCGTAAGTGGCTTTCTATAGCCCCGAGCTCTCCGGCGACCTCTGTTGTAGGGGTGATGGTTGATGTTCTTGCCCTAGTTCCAGCGTTTTTGGAAAATGGGTGTTCACCATATCATTAAAGAGTGTGAGATATATAAACGGAGACAAATGTATTTCAACAGTAAAAAAAATAAAGAGTGTGAAATATAATCAAGTAGGCCAACTCTAGCCCAATGACAAATACAGGCTTTATTTTATTGATCCATTCAACATTGATTAGATTGATTAATGTATATAAGGAAAATAAAATAATGAGAGATTCATGTGAGTAGGAGTCTATACACAGATTAGGGATATAAAGGCTTTTATGAGTTTTTATGAATAAAACAATCTTAAAATTACATTAATTAATTAATGAGTTGCTCAGTAGGCAATGTAGGGAAGCAAGAAGAAAAGGAGGGACAAACATGGATCAATGATGACTCCTGGTGGCGTGTGAGCCATGTACAATGAACATGTGTCCGCCTGCGAGGTCCAACACAAAAGCAGCCTCTAGTCCGTTGCGCTGTGTGAAGGGGCCCCAGGCAGGTGTCAGGGATGTGCAAGGGCCTTGTTTATGATTTATCTGCATGCATTTTCTTCCTATTTACAATTGGGTCGATGAAATAATCAGTAACATATTTCAGTATCAGTACATACAGATAAGTAAAGATGAAGGTCATGAAGCCTTGGCCAAATACAAAAATAACCGGGGTGACGTTAGTTTACCTTGGAGAATTTAAACATTTTCCCAAATTGCTAGTTTCCTAAATGACTAATTAAAAGGTAACTGCAAGATCAATAGATAGTAGGTCTTGACTTTTTTAAATCACCTACTGTGCTCTGTCATCAGAATGGACGCAATCGAGCTGATTTTAGGGTCCTCCCATGGCTTCGGGCTCTACAGTTGCACCTGGGTGTCAGCACACGGGGACCACGTGAGTAACATCAATGTTCCTGGCTCCGTTTGGGTGGTTTATTCAAGGGCAGTCAGTGTGTTACTTAAAAGTGTGAAATGTAATCAGTAAATGTCAACCTTGGCCCCAAAATGCAATTAATGTGAAGCATTATGTGGATTAATTCTTACACAAAACATTGAGGTCATTTAATGAAAGGGGATGTGTTGCTGAGGGAAATAATTCTATAGACAGATGGTAGAGATTAGCCCATGCCAATCATGGATTAATGACAGAGAGGTTCAAATGGGCAAGTATTTTGATTACTCCATATATTCAACACTGAGAAGGATTAGCAAAACAGATCTGGACTGTTTGCTCTTTGAAAAGTGATTTTATATCAGATGTTTAAGGATATTAAAGCTTTAAAAAAATTCGTGGATATATATTTATTGTTAGCGAATTAATGATTTATCTCTTAACGGAATTAAAATGACCGAAGAACAAGAAGACCTGGGCAGATGAGTCAAGGGTGACTAATCCTTACCTAGAATTCTGAGGTCCAGCGCGGAACAGATTTTATTGCTTATTACCGGTTAATGTAATAATTACTACAAAAATGTATGAGTAAATGAAGGAAAAATATGGCCAGATGTGGAAGAACAATGACGTATATAATGAAACAAACATTACCAATCCACTTTCAAAGAACTGAAGTCCTTTAAAGATATGGAGAGGCTTTTATATCTGTCTCAGCCTTGGGGACCACAGGGAGAGATGTATGGAATTGTTGATCATTTTCTGTGTCTGGGTAGCAGGTGTTTTCTTTTTAATTAATACGTAGGAAAAGAAATTATATAATTCAATCAACTGATTACATTAAGGAGGGCTGAGTATGAACCAGTGACAAAAAATGTGTCATACGACGAGATCCTTCATTGTGCTCTGTGGCTGATCGTTCCACAACGTAAGTCAAATTGTCGCTTTGCGCCCCTTAAAGATTTACAACGACAGTTGTCAGACATCCACAGTTGCATTGGCAGAAAGCATCTCGCCCCTCGATGCTCACAATAATGGGCAGCTGGGCACAGTTACTGTTACGCAGTGTCGGTGTCTTGAGATGGTTTAGATGTGCTCATTTTATCATCACAGATCAACAAGAGCTTAATAGTTTGACAAGTTGAAAGGGGACAGGACACTTGACCAGTGTGACACGTATGTGTTGAAACATCATTTGCCAGGTGTGTGTGCTCACAGTATGTCCCCCTTGAGAAAAATAGGTTTTCTCATATCTGTTCGAATAAGGGGAATTGGACAGAGGCGCACAATGACATTTCTCTTCTGAGTTCCTGGGCAAATAAACAGTTTTCATTTTGTTAAAAAAATAAAAATCAATAGTTTGTCGAGTTTCTCAGGAATTAAAGGATGAATGGAGGAACTTAAAGCTATTGATACATAGCTCTCTACGTATATAAAATAAGGACCCGTGATGAAGATATGCTACATTATTGGCTTCCGTACCATTTCCCAGAACTTTGAGGATGTGATGTTCACTTTGAAGACGACTTACTCTTCCCTGTTAGGTTTGCACCACAGTTCATCAGTGTTCCTCCGAGGAAGAGCCCCGAGCTGTTAGTTCAGAGACGCAATTCAGAGGGAGATGCAAAATGCTGGAGGCGCTGGGGGCCCGGTGGGCGGCGGGGCCACACGTGTCAAACGAGAAGGGGCCGAGCGCAGGTCCCCCACGCGGATGGGAGGCGGTCCGAACGTGCCTCGTGATGAATTCGTTCCCGCCTTACTGAAGTTCACTTCTTAAAGGGCGCTGGGATAGGGCTCTCATGGGAATAAGCCTTGAGCTCGACTTCAGTCATTTTTGAGAACCTAAGTAAGGGGTTAACGTGGCCCTGAGGGTTTATCGCGTGACTCCAAGGGAATAGGTGGAAGTGCTGGTAGATACTCCAGTTAGGCGGGCAGGTGGGAGGTAGACAGAAAGACTAAAGATAGCTTAATTAAGAAAACATTGCGAGGCAGAAGTTGCTTGTCATATGATTCTGAAACAGGGCAGCATATTGAGAAACCGATCGTTCAGGGGTGTTACCTGTTTGGGTTAGGGCACCGCAGGGCGCCGCCCCGGACCTGAGAGCCCCGGGCCAGTTGAAGTGCAGGCTGGGGGCCCTCGCTGGCCGTTCCTGACACGGTGGGATCAGCGTGCGGTCCCGAAGCCTGCGTTTCTCAGCCTGTTGTCAGTCGCCGCCCCACTGGTGCTGTCCCGCCGGCAAAGCATGTGGGCAGAGTCGGGAGCGGTACTGGTGGGCGAGGCCCGTGCCCGGGCCTGGGGAGGGCTCCCCTTGGGCTGTGTCATCGCGAAAAGCAAGGTAATTAACACATATCTAAAAGTTTAAGTAAACGAAAGGGGGAAGCGTAGTTCCGTGGAGAAAATGCCTCGTTCTTTTCACCTGCTCTTCACAGTCACCGGTGGGGACCCCAGAACTGATGGGGCGTCTGAAAGAGCAGGATCGCCAGGCGGCCCCTGCTGTGGGGATGGAGCCCCGAGTGAGCAAAGGGCCGCGGGCGCGGGCGCAGTTTAACGAGGCGGTCTGGCGCTAACGAGTTCCGGATTCGCTTGACGTGGTATTGTTTAGGGTGATTGTAGTAAGAGAGCAGGCCATGTCACTCCTGTTAATAGCTCTTTAAATTTCTATTTTAGGTTTTCCCTAAAATTCCTTAATTGATGCAGATGCCCCCTGTTTTCCTTACAAGGAAGGAGCCCACGGGAGCTGTAAGTACCGGTCAGTGGGTCAGTGCCGATGCCGGTTCATCCTCTACGGGGGAAGGGCATACGAGCTAAGTGGAAAAGGCCACCCGTGGACCAGTGATGCGAACGGAATGCATTCTGAACTGTGCTTTATGATCAAAACACCTATGACCTTCTGAGGTCCATTGCAAAAAGGGGTTTAAGTGTTTCTATGAGTGGGAATAAGACTCTGATGGACAGATTTCAGTACTACTGAAGGGTCATGTCTTCACCTTTGGTGCTCCGTGGATTTTACTTTTATTATCATAAGCCGATAAATGAAAGAATACACAAACCAGTGTAGATGAAGAGGGTGAGACCGTCAAGCTATGAAAGTATGTGGTGGGGGAAGAATTATTGCTAATACAACTTGGAGCCATTGGGGTTCATTAAGCAACAAATGGGCCAAGGGGCTACATTTTGGGGGTAAGAATGATTAGATGGCGACGTGCATAGCATTCTGTATTCTCGCTTGGAGTCCATCGGAAATGGGAGGGGGCCATTTAGAGAAAAAGAAATAATCACACTGCAACGTTAAATACCTAAATGACCAAGAAAATGAATGCGGAAAGCACATTTTCATGGCAGGGGACGTCTCAGTATTTTGTCTGTGTTGCTTGCACTCAGAGTGACTGCACCAGGCTAAGCTACGACCTCTGCGGCAGCCAAGGACCCCGGGTAAGGTGCGTGGGGACCGATGGCGGCAAAGAGCTCGTGTCTTGGGGTGGGTAGCTTGTTTAAGAATGTGCACTGTCCTGTTCAAAAATGGTTTAAGTGTAATCAAAGGCGTTAACCATGGCCCATGGTGGGGTTGACGTGAGCGTGTGACCCTGGCGGGTTTGTTCCACACTGCCCTCGGTGGCGGCGAGGGAAGGAACAGGCAGATGTTAGGGTAACTTAGGAGCTTTGTTCTTGGGTTATTGTGATGATGTAAATTTATTTTGTTAGTAGTAGCCAGTGGAAAAGTTAATAAATCAAGAACCGTCGACACGATTGAGGGAAAAGAGGGCGACCCCTAGACCAGTGATGGACAACTGGTGGCGTGTGAGTCGTGGACAGTGACTACGACATGTCTGGAACTCGGAGGGGAGGTTCAGAAGAGATCTAGTCTGCTGTCTCTGTTGGGAATGATCCTCTAGAAAGATCAGGAATACACAAAGCTGTTGCTTTTGGACTTTTGTGCTTCGTTCATTTTTATTGTAGTATTATGAAAACGTCAATAGCTAATCTATACAGTTACATAAACAAATAAAGATGAAGACTGCGAAGCATTGTCCAATTGTAAAAATATCAGAGGACACAAGAAATACCATTATCATAACTTGGAAATACTAATGTCCCTTAGGGAATAAATAAATCGAGGGTGTGTGACCTCTTTGGCCAACTGTTTGAGAGTGACAGTCGGTGTCATTGCTGTGGATCAGGGGTGGGTTCCACGTTGTTCTTTTTAGGAGATGAGACATAATTATTAGCATCAAACAGTAACCATTTAAAAGACTTAAGGCGATGAAAGGTGGAGATCGAGGATCCTTGGGGAGGGTGTCCCCACCTTCTTACCGTCTGCTCTGCTTCGTGCCCCTCAGGGTGGATGGGTGCTCGACGCGCTGCAAGGTTCTGCGCGGTGCCCGCGATCGAAAGCAGTGCGGTGATCACTGCGTGGGGGCCACTGTGAGTCTGCATCCCGTTGCTTGTTGCGTGGCTTGCCCAGGGGCATTGACTGCACGAAGACCTGTGGAATAGAATCCCAGGAGACCAACCGTAGCCTCAAGATGAAGCTGGTGTTGATAGGAAGCATGATGTTGATCTATT